AAACCCTTTCCCTCTTAAGCCGTAAGTGAACCATGTTCATCAATTAAAAAATGACGAGTTTCATTTCAGCTTTGAAGAGGAGTGGTATAGCTGGAAGAGAGCTGAGCACCCAGTGCAGACTGTCTATGCAACTCAGCATTGTGCTGTTTGATTTAAGCCAAAACAATTGCAGATGAAAAAAGCAGACATCTCCCACCATCCCCCATCCCACCACTGCAACATTTTGGTGAGGAACTGGAAAACCGTAGATGTTCAAACTACACTTTTTAAGACACGTTACGCACTACCCATTTAAAATACAAGTGCTACTGTATGTGCTGAGAAGTCTGCCTAAAAAGGAAGTCATCATGCATGTCGTAACAACAAAACACAGGTCAGACATTAGGGCAGCACCTTGCAAATACAAATGCAGAAGTTAGACAAAATAAAGCCTCATGATAATGCCAAATTGCATCTACTACAAAAACCTACCTCAAAAGCAAGGTGGAGAACAGACCCAATACCCTGCAGTATGTTTATTTTTAGTAAAAAATCATTTGCAACAAGCTCACTGAACAGAATTTGCCTCAGATGCTTGGCCTGCTATATCATATCAGCTAAATCAGTCATTAATTATGGCATTTGCTAACATTCACAAAATAAACCATACACAAGTCAATAGCTTGAAGTCCATCCACAAAATAAATACTCACAAATATTTCTAGCACTCTAAGACAGGAACAAACCAAAGCCATGAAGGTGAGACAGACAAATGTTCATGTCGAAAATCATTTTACAAGTTCATCTCCAGAATTTGAACAGTTAGAGAGAAGAGTTGCAGGTTCAAAGGAAATGTTTTGCATGTGTGCTCAGCTGCACAGAACACAAAGAACACTATCATTATCCAAAATACATGACTGAGACATAAATACAGCCCCAACTTACTATTTAAGGCCATCAGCGATTCCTCACAAAACACCAGCTCACCTGCTGTCACTTTAACCATTAGCAAAAAGCAACTGATGTCACAACAGCAAAGGCTGCTGCAAGGCAGTACTAAAGGACATACACAGGGCATACTGAATTAATCCTTCCAGCACTTAAAGGTTCCTCAATGCTGTTACACATATTCATATCAAGATGTCAAGAACGTAAATTCATCCCCAGCACCAGCCCTCCCGCTCTTGCTATTTACAGACTCCAGCACAAGTGAAGCAGCCATAAAAGAACTCCCTCATTACCACCTCCTCAGCGTTCAGTATACTGTATACCTGAAGAGGAAGAAAACAACAAGAAAACACATTTTGCAGAACTGACAAGCACGCCATTATTCTACCAGAACAGCCTTATCGCATAGCGTGTAGCTAATCCACACGAAGGAAAGCAAGAGTCAAGTGCAGTTACACAAACCAGGAAAGCCAGTTTCATCTGCCATGCCATTATTTTTCATTAAAAATGCAAACAGTTGATTTGCTTTAAATCATTTATCAGGTCAAATACTAGAAATTTCAACAGTGTGGTTACCAAGACGTGCCATGCTGCACCTGGAGACATTTGTCAGCTCAGACACTCCGAGTTCATCAAGAACACTGGTAATTTCCCTCCATTTGGTTGCTTGTACTGAAAAAAATGTTGGTTTCTATAGTCCTCAAGAGCTTCTTCATGCTGACAGCCACCTAAGGTAGTATTACAGCCTAAAGAAAGAATATTATAATTCCCCAAAGTCCATCTAAATACCTGCAGAAATAAGACAACCACTAAGGAAAAAAACTTACATAAAAGCTTGCATTTGGCCTAACAAAATACACAGCTGGTTCCTCAGACAGGAAGGCATGCACTCAAGATACACAAGTAATTTCTACATGGAGGCCATCATCCAGCTGCAGGCTGGTTTCTGCCATGACAGTAAGGCACTGCAGTAACCACCAGCCAGCACTGCTCTGACCGCTGCACTCACCGGTCCCAGATCACAAGCATCCACCATCCTGTCTTCATCTTTCAGCAGCCAGGATATTCTACACACTGCTACATTCATAGGGGAACAGGATTAAAAAGTGCAGTTAATGAATGAATAAGAGTGTTGAATTAGTATCTGCATTAATCATCTGGCTGACTGTTGTTTTCATGGGTCTTGGAAAACTGCATGACACTGAATAGAGAACCTCATTTCGTCCTTTCACTGACTTACCTTAACAATTCACATTGTATTCTACATTACAAGTAAAGCAACTTGTCAATAATTGCTAGCCTTAAGTAAAATCAGAGTAATGATACTTTTCAAACAGACCTAGGCTAGTGCCTCCCAGATTACATTATAACCTTGCTAACAAACAGCAGGATGTCCCCAAGTCAAAAATCTTCTGGACCTCAAAATACATGGCATAGCTTTCAAGTTACTTTCAACACATACTAACAGCTCACACCTTTGGGGCAATCTTTACTACTACAGACTTTCAGGTTTTTACTTCTATGCTGGAAGACAAAAACTGAAAGATTAAAAAGGTGAAGTACTGAAATGATGAATAACAAGATACCAATAAAGAACAAAGAACACAGTGGGGGTGGCAGGGAAGTGGTAAAGAACCTCATTAGTCAGGAAAGAGCTTAATTAAAGTCTGGAAAAAACGGTGCTGCTAAATTCAAACACTCAACTTGCTCAAACTGATTCTTGAGCTAAAAGTGTATAGCCCAAGATTTCAGGCAGTGGAAGACAACTGAAGTGGCACTGAAGCAAGATACCTGAAGACAAAGGCAGAGCTCTAAACTGGGAAGCGTGGGGCTGTTTTCAGTTGCATACCCACATATCATTCAGGTTGTACTTGGGCAACACCAGAGCCTTCCTCACCAACCAGGCTGAAGCTGGAGTTCACTTGCAGCAGGTTTTGAGGCTACATGAAATGGGAGGGAGCACACCAGGCACTGATGAGGAAGGCTGTCACTTGCCAGAGCAGGGCTGGACAGGTCCATCAGCCACCTGATGTAGCTTTAACTGAGAGTGCAGTTAGATTCCAAGTTGCCAGCTTCCAGAGGTCCTCTCCAACCCAATTTCCCAGTCATTTTCAACACCTGTTTCAAATTGCCACTAATTAAGAGATCAGGAAAACCTGCAAAATGCAACCTTCTACCAGCACTGACAAAATCATTGTAAATATAACAAAAATCTCTTCTGCAAGACTGAGTTCTCCATTCTCAGCTTGTAATGTAACAACCCCACAAAGCTTGTTGCCACACTCTTACACACTGCAAGCAAAATCCCCAGCCTATATGCACTACTTTTTATGCAACAGGTGTGATTAGTTCACATTTCTGCTTCTTTAAGGACTCCTCATCGCTTCTCACATGGGGTAAGCATATATGCAAGATCACCTGCTCATTCTTTCTACAGGAGAACAGGAATGTTCAGTGTAAGCTCATGGAGGAACTGTATTTTGGGTTTGTTAGTGCTTCTTTTTGTAGAAGCAGCATTCCTTTGTGCTCCTGCTCATGCTGGGACGGTACGTACTTCAAGTCCCATGTAGACTGGCATGATCTTGTTCCCTTAAGTTAAAAACAAAGGGCAACAAAAAACCAACACATAACAGCTTCAAGCTATTTAGTTGACCAACTTAAACCAACCAAAAAACCAACTTAAGTTTTGGATAAAGATTTAATCAAAACATTTGCTAGCAACCTTTGTTTAGACTTCCATCTCTAGGAAAACCCTGACAATCATGCCCTATGTGATTTTGTGGGATGATGCAACTTGCAGATTTTTTTTAATTGAGTTATTCATTAGCTTAAAGAGCAAAAAGAGAACTTTGTGTACAAGAGAAAGGAATTTATAAACTTGGATCAGATGACGTGGGCTTTGGAACAAGAACACCAAACAACGTGAGTGTACCTGTTTACCAACAGAGCACCTCATTTCTGGGAGAACTACAGATGTTATTTTTCAACACACATTTGTGAAACACCAGCAAGGCAAACTACTTCTCCTGCCACCCTTTCACAGCCACAGGCTTACTTGAAAAAAGATTCTTTATCCAAAGCTACCAGGCATGTCCTAAAAAATGCCATTATATGCAATGGACAGAAGCCACATGTTCACTTCATTGGTAAGCAATAACTCAAAAAATTAGCCATCACATCTGTAAGCCACAGACCAACTGCCCTTGTCCAAACAGAGCTGACATGCTTTAGAGTAGAGCACTAAGCCAGGAAAAGGAAAAAAAACAACAACTTTATTAGTTGTGTGTGTAATACGTACATAATAACATGCATTCCTTTTCCTTTCCCAAGACAAATCACCAGAGAAGGCCCAATTTTACTCAGAACTTCACCTAGAACCAGTAAGTCCATGGACACTCCATAAGGACCTCAGTCAGCTTTCCTTCATTAAAAGCTGGATATGGAGTTAAGATGCACATTCAAGTTTTGGCCTTTTAAAAAAAAAAATTTAAATAAACCCACACCACACCCATCTATCACACAACTAAACTAGCAGATAAATATTTATACAGTTATCTTTATTTGCTTTAACCAGCCACTTGCATGCTTGAAAAAGCCAATCTTTGTCCTCTGCCCCGCCAATATAAAAGGCTTATTCTGATCTAAGCACACACACAAGCAATAACAGTTCAAGTACTGTCTGCAAAGTTTTCAAATATTTCCTCCTGAATGAGAGATCTCCCACGAAGATACCACTGCAACACAAACAAGTACCAAAGGTATCTACGCCATAGTTTCCAGGGTTGCTATAGACTTTCTTTGAGGCTTGGGGAAAGGCTGAAGGGGAAAACAAGGCATATATATTTGACTTTTATTAGTTGTTTCCCCAGAGGCAACTGTCCTGGTAATAAACAGTTCATTCTTGATCTGCAAATAATTTGTTCCCTCCCCAGCCAGGGGGCATTCATAACACCCAAGCAACGTTAGAGGATTTAAGATGCCAGATAATTACAACACAACATATTAAATAACACAGAGGGCTAATACAAGCAGGATCCCAGAACTCCCAGGCAGAAATAACACGTATTACTCACCACAAGCTCCGGACTGAGGAAGGCCAAAGCTGCTGCACAGCTGAGCAAGGTGCTGCTCAGTCCATGCCCAAAGCTTTGTCCCAGGGGCTGCCACAGCCCCCTCCAAATCTGCTTCTCATTCTGCTGTTGCAGACACAGCTGCTCCTCACACATGTGGCAGGCAGTAACGCCCTCCAACCACAAAGAGGGAGCTGGGCCAGGTGAGACTCATCCCTCCAAATCAACTGCTTTCTACCCATTTGGTTTAACTCTGAGCAATAAGCAAAGCCGCTGGAGACTGAAAAATCCCCCACAAAGGGAGAAAGACAGACATGGTGCAACAGAAGGGACTGCACTGAATTCCTCCTTGCTATTTGCATGGCTTTTGGTTTTAAGCCAGATTTCTGTAATACTACCTAAGTTTTTTATTGGTTTCATCTCTATCCTCGCTGTTTGCCAACTTCTGCCATTAAACACCGACGCTTAAGGCAAGGTTTACTAGACATCACGTGGAGAAAACACCCAGTTAATATGATGGTACAAGAGACATACAGTTTAGGAAGCAGAATCAACTCAATTCCTTCTGAATGCTGCCAAGGAGGGCCAGCTTCCCCAGCTTTGAAGCACTCACACCCTCCAAGCTTTTAGCATTCGTCTGAAGCAAAAACCACCTGCTGTGTTTATACTGCACACAAATCAAGATTTAACTCCAGTACTATTACAGCCACGTGGATGTACCTGACACCACAGTCATATTTCCTAAAGCACAGAGATTTACTTGAGTGTGATTTTTTTATGGTCACATTGCAGTGACAGACATGTCATCAGTGCAAAGAAAACTCAACTTCTGATAACCTCCAAGAACACCATGTACTATATATCTCTAATAAGTATAATGCTAATTAGATCTGTTCCATTATACAGCATTAAATAACAATCCATTTGTGTTTATCCCTGGCAAGTCACGAGAGTTGCATACCAAGAAACTCCCTCTGAAAGCATCCTGGAGTTAATGCATACACAAGTCCAGAGAGCAAAACAGGCAGCCTGATTCTGGTTGCAGTCTTATTTACAATAAACTTCCTCCTTTCCAGTTCAGACTTCAGCAACATGAACAACTCAATCCCAAAGGCAGCTTTAAAAACAGAACAGATAGCCAGTTTAACATCACAAGTCAAATATCCTTTACGAGGTCCAAGAAATATTCCATTTCTCCAGGAATGACTCAAAGGATGCCATTCAAAGGGCAGAGATTCCTAGAAAATAAACATTTACTTACAGCATACCTGGGGAAATCCACACAGTGGTGGTAGTGTGCTCTGAAAAGCTCCTTTGCATCCAGACAAGGAAGGATTCATGAAGGTCAATCGCTTGCCAGCACAGGAACTGCATAAAAAGTTTCTTCCTCTGAGGCCTCTTTGCCAGTACACAGCTACAGAGTGAGTGGGCACAAAGCAAGTTGCAGCAGCTTCTCAAAATCAGGGTCACCCTGCAACTCGTGCATATTAACCCACTTACAAGTCCTGAAAACCAGGAGAATATCCAGTTTGCAAACTTGTACTGATACTGGAATATGTGAACACCAGTTCTTCCTACCAGGTTGTCCTCTTCACACACATTTCACAGCTCAGGCATATGGACAAGGGAAGGTGCACACTGGCTCCCCTTTCTGTTGAAGATAGAAACACCTTTAGACCTTTAATTCAAATAGGTTCAGAGTCCTCTAACCCAAACATTAACTTTTCCACCAGAAAGAATGAATGAAAAGCCAGAATGTGATACAACCAACCACAAGATTGGCGAGGTGTTTGTAGTCCAATGCTTCCAACTTCATGATGGATGCCTTGCAAAACAGCTCTTTGCCAAAACAAATGCTTTCAAAGAAACCAAGAGAGGGCAAAAAGATCACGGTGGCCCTAGAACTCACAAGCTGTGTCATTCCCATTTTGCTTTACTGGGGAATCAGCAAAACATCAAGAAATCTGAACATAAACTTCCCACTTTACAGCATCTAAAAAATAGAAGTGAGGCATTTGGTCTCATCTGAATTAATAAAGCAACAGTAAAACTAGAAATATTTGATGCTGAACCTCTGTGCAATTTACTGCAAGTGATTTGTTGCTGACTGCATACATCATCAGTATTACAGGAGCCTGCCAGATTACTGCCACCGACAGCAAATCCATGTTATTTTTCTAAACTAGGATAATCTTAACATAAGTACAGAATGATAAGCTGTATGCAAACACGTCAACTTTGTATTCCAAAAATTGTTCTCAACACATTCTGACTGAAAACTGCCCCACAAGTTTTAGGATCCTTATGCAGCGCCCTAAGGATTACAGTGTACATTTCTTGCTTAAAATTATCACCATTGAAAAGTCTCAACAAGATGAGTCAATCAACAATGCCGTAGAACAGCCTGGCTGGTGAGGGTGCTGCTTTAAAAATCGTCAACAAACTGTTTAATCAAAAATTAATTTGCAGAAACATGGAGACCGGGAGCAAGGCACAACAATCCGTGTGCTGGTTAAGCAGGGACTTCGTACCACTATGTGTGCTGTGTGGGTCTGTCTGGCTTTCAGAAACTACAGTTATTAGGAGACAGAAGAGAAGGGAGAGGACAGAAAGGTGCAAGCATTTGTCACTGGAGGCTCTGGAGCTTCAAGTCAGCACATTACATGCAATTAATCTTGCTGGCTACTGGTACTTAGCTTTTTCAGCAAGTAAGGTATTAGTCACACTCAGTAGCTCTACAGAGAGCCGTAGCATCTCAGAAATACCAGAATAGGTGCTAGAAAGAAAGAAAGGACTGATGCACGAGGTGAGATGTACCCCACTCAGGTATGCACCGTACAAAGACAGAATAGCAGCCACATCAATGGCAGCAGCAAGGGTACCTCCAGCATCACAAGGGCTGGAAGGAGTTCTTGGCAGTCTAAAGAAATGGCGCTCAGTCAACCACATAGGCCACAAGGAGCATTCAGGGGCCTGTTTTGGAGATTGAAAGGCAATTACTACCTAAGTAGCAGCTTAAGATAAAAGAAAAAAGCCTATATGCAAGAGTCATATTTTGTTCCACAGACTCCAGGAAGACTGTCTCACTAGAGATGGAGCAAGGACTGCTGCTGCTTTGGAGTGCAGGACCTCCTTCCTTTGCAAGCTCTGAGCACTAGATTAAACCAACAAATCAAACACTAACATTCACATGGCCCACACTGCAATGTAAAAGCATGTACAGAAGATGAGCTCAGGATGTTTCTAATGCAACAAACAAGGAGAGAAACAGCAGTTTTTAGTAGCTAAGTGTGGCATTGCTTATGTTTTTATTCACCTCAATTCAAAGCTGCTCTAAACAGAAGTATTTTTACTCTTACCAGCTGGAACTAACAAACTGAATCGATTGCTCTGCCACCATCTCCACAACAGTCAGCAGGAAGGCACACCTCTTTTCCTCTTCTCTTAAGGACTAATGGTTAGCAGACTACATCCAACCTTTGAGCTTCGTAGCTCCATCCTAGTTACTGTGTATAGAAAGAGATGACTAATGCTGATCAGACCCGTGGGTGGAAAAGCAGCAAGTGTCAGAGTCCTGTTATTTTTCTCCTATCAGATCAGTTATCAGCAAAAGCCACATCACAAGCCTGCAACCACCAATCATAGCTGCTGAAAGCAGAGACATTTTGTGGTATGTGTAAGGTTGTGCTCCTCCAGGATTATTCATTACTTATTTTTTATATTTTTCAAAAGCAACTAACAGCCCTACAACAACTCAGTAGTCTTACTGGGAGGAAGCAAACTCCTTCTGTCGCTAGACAACAGCCCTACTGAAAAAAAATTATTCTCTTTTGTAAGTACACTATTATGTAGGGGGGAAAAATACATTGCAGCAACAGCACCAAAAAGACCACATCATAGGTAACAGTAGCATCATCTCACAAGAGTTACTGGAATTTAAGTCAAGAAACTAAAAAAGAAATCACTCAAGTGCTTCAAAATGCCATCAAAACCTTGCAATACTACATCAAGAGATCACCAAGTGGAACATCAACAGGTGGCAATCGTTCAACTGCACTCCATTCTTCATCTACTCTTAGTGCTCTCTTCTCTCTGGAACTATCCTTATCCTTCCCCGCAGACAGGCATCCCTGGGAACCTGAGAGACTGATTTATACAGATTAGCATGTTATCAAGTTCACTTTCAATATTGCTCACCTTGAACTTCATTATCTGTTTTAAAGAAGATAAAGGTACTATACTTACAATGCCTTTTCAGCGTAATATTCTTCAGTTCTGCAATGAATTCTGTAGGTATTTTTCACAGTGAGAGTTGGAAGGATTTTATATTCAGGTAGCACGTAATAAATCAGAGTTCCCCTCCCATGGAGTCACACAGATTTCCAGTGCTGATCTCACATTTATGTGCCAGCACTTCATGCATCTCAAACAGCCCACTGTAGAAGTTGAAGGACTCACCAAGATGTCTTTGCAATAAGAAAGAAGGTGCTGTTGACCAGTTCCATTTCTTCAGATAATAGACAAGCTGAGGTAGATCTATTCATTCTTACAAGCTTCAGGCTGGAAAGCTGGAAGAGATTGCTAACAAGGATGGGAAAAACGTCATGCGAATCGGCACGGCTGACAGTGAATACTGAGGTGCAAACTTCATCTCAGCACAGACATAGACCAGAGCTGGAGAGCTGCAGTTATAAACACAGCTCACAAAACACAAGTTCTAATCACTGTGTATTAAGTTTTGCATGCAAACTGAGCTAGTCATTAGCCAGTAAATGTAATCATGCTCAAATGTAACATTCCAAATATGCTCTTTTCAAGGCAAATTATGGCCAAAATAACTCATTTAGATGAGTTTTATCCCACTTCACGTTTACAAACAGAAAAAAGGTAGATGCTTTTGAGAACTTAAGCACCATAAACTTAAAGAAAAAAGATTCATGAGATATTTGTGAATACTATGAAAACTGAAAGTATCTTAAACTTGGAAAACATGACAAAGAGCTGAAAAGCTTCATCATTCACAGGTTTCTCTAGGAAAGCCTGAAGTATGCAGGCTAACCCACCTCAGGGGGACATCCAGAAAAGTTATCAAAAAGGAATTATGTGCTGTTTGTCGGTTTGGGGCTTTTTTGAGCGTGTGTTCAGTAGAAATGAGATGAGGGCTTACTTCACTTTTTAGCAAAGACAACTCAGTGTGACAGATTCGAGTACTGATGAGCACCTCTAAGGTAGCGAGGTTTCCATTCAGCTTGGTCAGTCATCCACACAGCACAGCCTCCATACGCTTTGTGGCATCTCAGAGCACAATTATAGCAATTCAGTTTTCTTCGTGCACTTCCACATTCCCACAAATATTAAAAAAAACCTGCATATATTCTCGGGTCAGAATCCAGTGTGAAGCATCATTGGCACTAACTTGTGGCTATAAAAATGACATCCTGAAGGAAGCAAATAGAGCCCTGCTGCCATCAAACCCGTACACTAACACGGCAAACACGGAGATACAACTATCAGCTGACTGGCGTACAGCAACGCAGGCTGTCTAGTGTAGAAATCCATATAAATTATGTAAATACTGCCTTGAAAAGTATCGTTGTGTTTCAGCACTAATTCCAAGAGCAGCCCTCTACAGCGCGCTCCGTTACATAAATGTCTGCCTAATCACAGCAACTCCGCTCACAGATGTTGCCAAATCTCCTGAAGTATAAATGTGGATGAAAGCATTCAGGATGAGTCAGCTGCACACCCACCTTCCTTGGGAGTACAAACTACATTAGTGACAACAGG